AGAGGAGATGAAAACGTGTGGGCAGACATGGAGCCAGGTGAAGACTGTAGCAGAGAACAGAACGCAATGGAGACGCACGGCTGAAGCCCTCTGTTCCTCTAGGAATTACAGGATACAATAATAATAATACATATAAGGAATATCTGTGAAGTAGCGACAAGATTATTAAGACCATTTGAAATAGACATAACAAACAAGTCAACACAATCACTTCATTCATTACTGTGCAGGTCAAAAGGCTCAACAGAAATAAAAGATAAGGTCATTACTATTTATAAACTGAGATAAACTCTACATTAGTCTCCCCACTGAACCTGAATCCAAGAGCATAAATTAGCTGTGAAAACATACAACATGTTGTATTCTTACATATCAATGCATGCAGATGATTACCAACACCAAATGGATTGAGAGAATGTGAAATTTTGAATAGAGGAAACACTAGTAGTCAAATGAATCATCGATTAACAAACCCACACATGACTATAGATCAAATTTACCAACTAATAAAAAATAAATCGCATGACTAGAGAGTCCAAATTCGAAATCAATAAAAATGATCGATAAAGATATGAAGTGGAAACCAATCGCAACAATAGGTTTCAGGAAATACAGTAGCATCATCACATAGGGAGAATTTAAACAAGTTCATTTCATACTAAAATTTGTACTGAAGAGGGACAATGAAACCTTTACAGTTAATTCAACCAAATCGAGATTATTAGAGTAATTTTCAAGTACTAATTTGTAAGCATTAAGTCAACGCCAGTAGGATAATGGTCGTAATTGCTGAAGAGTCGCAAACTAGGACGAAACAGGCATTGAGTAATCCTTTATTTTTAAAAATTCTCCAACTGATATCAGGCTGTGACACTCAATGCAACTTGAAAGTTAGTTAAATCCCTAAGAATTAACACTTCTTTTTCCGCTGATATTTTGCCCTGGTTGAGAGGAGAAGTGACATTATGTAACTCTGTAATCATTCCGAAGATATGCGTTCCATGAGACTAAAAATTTAGATATTAAGTAACACCTACTTAATAAAGTCTAAAAATTTTAAGCAATCTCCAAAAACTGAGGGTTTCCTCGTCCTCGGATAGTGTTAACCCCTGTAGTGAGAGCTGTCTGCTAGCCAAAATTGTAGACACCAATTTACGTCAGTGTTTACATCCCGAATGGGGGTCACGAGATGAAACAATAACAAAGCCTAATCTTGAGGAACTCAACAACCAATCTCCGCAGACTTAGCGTGGGCAAATACGATTCGCAGACATATGGTGTGACCTTGAAAGAAACGGCCAAAAAGAGATGACAGAATAACTTTCAGCGAGAAAACAACCAATCAGAAGGCGCTGTTTCTGTGCTAATAATAATGTATATAAAAATATATAAATATCTGCTGATTTTCTCAATAAACGACCTGTTGCCTAGCCCTTGTCTTCTGTCGTAACACCTTAACATGCAGTCGTTTCCCCAAAAAGCATGTCATGTAAACTTCTCTTATTATATGTTGTTACATTCTATGTATAAAATAGAGTGTCCATCACCGGGACACTTTCGGTTCCGCTTTCATTTAGACTTAACAGCAACTGGCGGTTGCAAATCTGAGAAAAATCATCCTTATCAACTCATTGAGAAATTAAACTGTTTAGGTCAGTAAAGGTTTAGTGCCGAGTTAAAAAAGGTACTGCAACATTGTATCGCTTACCGCTCAATATCTCTGTTTTATGACCGCAACTACGACCTAGTAGACTCTGAGCGAATACTGAATTAATGCGCTGGCTAATCTGTCCTAATCGCACGTCAACAACAACTACAATAACACCGCTGGGCCGCAAAAGACAGAAGAGAAGACTGGACCTTGGGAAGAGAGAGGTTTTAATGTCTCAAAACATCAGTCGACAAAGGTTGACACCGCTTGAGTATATATGTGTTTAAAATGACCTTGGGAGGCACTAATGTGATTGATAAACTAAGATAATGAGCAACCAACAGGATTTCAAAGGTCATAAGTTGGGTGAGAGAAAATCAGGTCATAAATCGATAAGTGCAGCGAGGGTATTACAGACATACATGTAGAAAAAAATGAGTCTATACATCACTCTCGGTCAACTTAATTCGAAATGGACAGTGCAGTGAGAGTCCTTATGAGTCTTTCCATTTCATGTGACTTCTTTTTTCTATATCACTCTGGAGTGTTATTAAGCTGTAGGATTATTGTTGATTCCTTTGCTTTCTCAGTGGAAAATAGGGCTTCCAGCTTGAGTAGCACCTGTGTTATTTTCATGGAGTGGAGTGGCAAGCCTCACTCTCAGTCTTCCTTCTTTACTGGGGTTTACTGACAGCTAGGCGAGGTAAAGGAGTGCGCCGGGAGTTGGGCGTCGAAACCAGTAACATTTGCTTGGTTGACGGGCATTCTACCGCTGAACCACTGACGTACCAAAACCGAGGAAATGATGATGAAAGTCGAGGAGATACAAGAGGTACTGCCAGTCAATCTAACAGTTAGTTAGGCAAGTATTAACACTGAAGTTTAGCCAGGTAACAGTTTGACTAGGATCATCGATACATCAGGAATCAATGGTTGATGATTTGGTGATACAGTTTTCATTGGTACAGGTGCATTCACCCTTTTTTGATCTCCAAGACTGATAAAGTTCTCATTATCCTTCAGTTAATCAGTCTTTCTCCCGTAAATTCTTGTTTATTATAGTTTCTCTGTATTTCTTTTGTATCCCTACATTTGTGTTTTTGTTTCTATGAAGTATGGCAACCTAGGCTACTGCACTTCCGTGAAAAGTTCTGCGTTGAATATTCACTTCAGCTGAGGCAACTGTTCGATAAAGATTAAATCACAGATCACTTTACAGCAGAAAAATCTTTTTAGCAACTGTTGGTCTGCGGTGGTTCAACTATTTGTAGATCGGATCACGAGGTGAGATCAGCTAGGAAATGATTACGAAACTAGGGAGCATCGTACAGCTACTTCGCCTTTGTTCTCGGCTCTTCATCAGTATGTACCCGCCAGGGTTTGAACCAAAGACCTCCGGGTGAGAAGGCGAGCTTGTAGACCGTTGAGCCACTGTGACCCGGTCTAGTGACGCTTGAATTTGAACTTCTGTCAATTCTCGATATATATATCGAAATCTCTTACGTGACTTGGTAGTTCCCACTGATTATGACTTTTCAACAGAACTCCGGATAACTTCCTAGAGCTCGCCTTAATGGGTGTGTACTATTGAAGAGTCCCAAACTAGGAGGAAACAGCTGTCCAATACTCCCTGATTTTCCAGTGGTTCTCTAAGTAATGTCGGATCGTGATCAAATTATTATATTATCATTACTGTTTCCTTTAATTCACAGAGGAACATAGGGCTTCAACCGTGCGTCTCCATTGCGTTCGGTTCTCTGATAGAGTCTTCACCTGGCTCCAAGTCTGCCCACACGTTTTCATCTCCTCTTCACATGACCTCCTCTATGTCACCCTCGCACTGACGACCAACTCGCCGCTTCCCTTTCGGGTTCCAATCGAGCAATGGCTTGTCTAGTGATGTCACTTGATGGTTTCCTCAGAGTATGGCCAATCCACCTCCATTTCTTCCTGCATATTTGTTTCACAATCGGTCCCTGCTGAGTTGGTTAGCTCCCAGAGAACTCTGTTGCTGATCTTTTCTGGCCATCTGATCTTGAGTAGTCTTGAGAGAAAACAGCTGTTAATGAAGGTCTGTAGTTTGTTTGAGATGCTCTTTATGACGCGCAGTGCAAGTCTCTGATCCGTATAGTAGCAGCGACTTCACATTGCAGTTGAAAATCCGGATTTTATTTTTGATGCTGAGTGCTGTTGACCTCCACACAGACTTGAGAGTAGTAATGAAACCTGTAATGTTTTTTAGAGAACTTTCCCTAGCTTGGTTCTACAGCTGTATATTCAATATTAGGTTGACAATTATTGGTGTATATCAATAAAGGTAACAATGAATCAGGAAATGAAATACACTTTTGTGACAAACCATTTGTCTAAAATCAATATATAACTGTACAACATGTGGGAAAGGAAATGCTGGAAAGAATACGTTGTTAGCATTATGTTACGAGACCACATAAAAGATCTGGGACTCCTGGGGGCGGGCAGAATTTGGTTTTCCTCTCGAAATGCTGTCTTGTGCCCAAGGGTTCATAGCGTCTACAAAGTAGGTCCTGTTCAATGTCTTCATGAGGCTGAGGTGAAAGGGGTAGCATATGCCTAACTATGGTGTACATGGGATCCAGAATCTGAACGGATCTGATGGCGTATGAATCTGTTTCGGTCACTGGCAATCATAGGAACTCAGCTGTTGACCCTGCCATATGGATTAGATACGTCCAGTCAAAGGCTTGGGAGTGGGGTGGGTGGAGTGGAGTGGCCCTTTAGAACGATCATCTACGTCCGTCTGTGTGCTCGGGCAGTATTCGAGATCTCGCACAAATTATGATCACTGTTTGATGTCATTTCGAAAAGCGGGGAGTACTGGGAGGCGATTTCTTCCTTGTTTTGCAGTCTTCATCAGTATTTACCAACGACCCTATATAGGCTAGTATCTGTCCGCACATCCGACCTGCTAGTGAATCCCACAGGTCACAACTTCCCACTAGAACTACAGCCAACTTCGTCCTGTGACCAGTGAGTAGCGTGCATTAGGTTAATTTTCATGCGCCATTTTGTCGTAGGGATTTGATGTTTTTTCATGTTTGATCACGGCTTGATGTCGGCGAGCTTACCCTGGTAGTCTGAAGGTACTAAGTCCGATCCATAGTGGGTGCCAACTGCTGAAAAATCCCAAAATGGGACGAAACAGCTGTCCATTATTCCGTGGTTTCCAACGCGTAGATGCAGTTGGAGTTAACATGAACAGGTAACTATAATAGAAAAGCGATATAGGCAGATTTTGATTGGCTGTTGGCTAGCTGGCTTCTTATTGGTCTAAAATATAAGTAAAAATGGCAGTCTCTTTATTTTGACACGGAAAGTTACAGTCAGTTTAAAGTCAGTCTTAACTTACCATAATATAACGGCGTGTTAATTTTTTTGGTGTGAGTGTAGTGTGATAGTCACACGCTATTTGGATGCATTTGTAGTATTTAAAGTACATTGAGATATATGGGAATGTCTAGTAAGTGAATATAAGTTAACAATAATTTTGATGCATTTATTTTAAGTCCAAAATAGGATGTATGCATTTTTTGTTACTATGGGAATAGAATTCAATAAAAATTGCTAAACGTATAATGTGTCTAATTTTGGACATGTAGATATATGTATGTATTAAGTGATCTACTTTTTTAAGTTTTCAGTTTAGTGACCTGTGGGAATTGCACATACTAGGTCAACATAAATAAAGTAAATTTCCTATGTCACAAAAGTGGTATATAAGCAATGAAATGCATACAACTGTTCATTTACTTGAAATCATTGTGTTGTGCACGTTAGGAATTGTTAGAACCATTAAATGATGTTGCAAAGTACTCCTACTGCGTCTACTTCACGGAATGTGTCATCTATATTGTGTGATGTAACAGCTACATTCCAAAGGATAATGCTTTGCTGTGTATTTTATACATGGATGCAATTTAGGGAAGCTTTAGATGCATTTATGAAGGTACTAACTAAGTTGTTCATTATTTCTTTGAAAGGAATCCAACACATGGTATCGGGTTGATTCCAGTAAAAAGGATCCATCCGGTCCTATGGAATACGAGCATGTGACGTTTAAATGCACTTTTGGAAGTAAACGTGCTTCCCGAGGTGCTGGCTTTAGGAACAGAGGGTAAGTTTACTGTCTATGTAAATTTTAACAATTTCAAGGTTCAAAAGTACTTCATGTCAATCAGTAATTACAGTACGGCGCAAATCCAACATATACAGGATAACAAAGTACCAAACTGTGCATAACCATCCATGCACAGCAAGTTTCATGTCCATTGATGTATCTAGACGTCGGTTATCACCACAAGAAATGGCAGTTATACAACCGTCGTCTCAACATTCTGAACCAAAGAAATCCGGATGCTGCACTGCGGGAAGTAGCAGAGTTCACAAGAAGGTTGGACACTTTGCTAGCAAATGAACCGCAAACAACTTTGAGATTACGACGTGCCCCTGTTAATCGATCATTTTTGTGAAAATATTTGCATTACCTTATTGTTTCCATTTGTATTCACAATATAAACATCTATGTCTAAACTGTGTTACACTTCCTTTCCCTTCAAATGCCTGAGAGCGACAGTTTAAAGCATACTTTGGTTGATTGTTTCCTGATGAGAGCGCTTGGCAAGTCAGTTACAAATTACACCGATCTGTGCCTTATGTAATGCGTTTTATCAGCCGAAGATTTCTAGTTCATAGCATATCGCGAGTAACGGCGACTAATACGATTTATTGCCTATACCGTAATCACCCCAGGCTTACAACAATTCTAAACTTATTCTAACCTATTCTTCGATAATGCTTATTAAGAAGAACAAGGTGATGAATTACAGCCGGTCATGCGGATAAAACAATCCCACAGTTCTGGTTCAATCACATTATCAAACAATGGAAAACCAGTTAGGGAGTTCATTTATTAAATAGTGTTACTATACTATCATAGTGCACGTGAATTAGCTCAATGATTGCAGGTTTACCATAATCCTTAACTACCAACATAATAAGTGGGAACTTCTGCCTAAAAACAACCTTACTAGTAGCATACAGTGACAGAAAACTGACCTACATACTCCAAAACAAGCAAAACGTTCAAAAAAAACCTTTAAAATTCAATGGAAAACGAATTCACGAAAACATATAACCAGTAGACGCAGGAACCCATCATGACCTTGAAACTGACTATAGCGTCTTTCACTATAATATTGTTTTGTTCGTGTGTTGCTTTGTTGATTTTGACTCACCGAGTTGAAATCCCACTATTAAGTTGCCAGCCAGATCTACTTTAATATTCTGTCATAATTAAACTTTATTATTCACTCTCACCGTCTTCAACTCCACATCGTAATATGCATAAATTCACTCCGTTGTTTGATCTCGTATTCTCTCTCTCTAGTCAATCTTTGTTTCCAAGCGAAATCTGAACGCTCTACTTCTTCCCTTGTCTGATCATTCTATGAGTAGTTACTCATTATTTTTTATTTCAGCTTGATTCCACACCACATTTGTTTGGTACAGGTATGGAATTTTCAGCATGTGATATCCTTAGCCCAAATTTTGCAGGCCGATCATTGATATCAGGTGTGTGTCGGCAGGTGATCGAACCCCGAACCATGTGCATGGTCGGCGAGAGTCCTAACCACTGTGCCACCGACACACTGAATAATCAGTCTACTTACATCATCTTGAGAATCATGTTGCCGATACTTTTTTTATCTGTAACTCGAAGTCACTGTGAAGAAAGTATGTTCAGACACCATTTTGCAACTTAGGATATACACAGTTGAAGAGAACCGATGAAATAAAACTGCAAATATAATTGTTCTTTCGTTATTCTTTTCTCTTACTTAGAAGACAATGCCTAAATCAGATGAATCTAAAGGTAGAAATTTCATAACAGGTCATAAACCATTACGTAATGATGACAGATAACTCCGGTTTCCATTCAAAATTACTAAATCCTTTGATTGGACAACACTGAGTAACTAGTGGAATGCGTCGAGTCCTATCTTTGCTGCAGACTGAATTCTATCATTCAGTCAATTTCGCAATTTGGCCACCACTTTAGGTAGTTTGTCATCACTTTACACTTTCAGTTGTTGATAAGAGATGGTTGGAAGCAACCGCGAACCTGAATAGCTCAGTGGTAACGTCTGTGACTGCAGCATTGGGTGACGCGGCTTTGAATCTCAGAAGGGACATGAGTTCCTTCAAGGCTGCAGATACTAAATCCTACCTATGAGCAGTTACATTGGAAGGACAGAAAGAAGGGCATATCTACGATTTTCTGAACATGTACCAAAAAGCTTACGTCTAAAGGGAACAAATTCTTTAAACAGTACCATCGCCAGCCATCTCCTCGGCACGGGTCATGAGGTGGAAATCGAGAAATCCTTTAAAATTATCAATAGACAAAGGAGCTCCATTCTCCTCAAGTTTACCGAAGCAATTTCTATCAAACGCTTCAAACCAGATTTATGTGTTCAGAAAGAAGCAGTTGTTAGTCTTTCCTTGCCATGGTAACTGCATGTCTTTATTCTCCACTCTGATTACGTAATCTTTGTCTTTAACCTCAACCCTCTTTTTTATAATCTGTAAAATTGCTTGTCTCTTCTTTCTATGACATGATTTGAACTCAGTACATCGTTACCAAATTTATTAGTTATTCATCATCTTACTCACCTCTCGTCTTTATTACGTAACTCCCTTACCATTGTATGCATACATTTATTTTGACTTGAACTGCCTGTGTAAAAACTATACAAGCACAATTTTCTGAAAACTTTTCACTAATTGTGGAACTTTCTGTCAACCGACAACGTGTAAAATTTGCAAGTATGTTAAAACTTTTCTGTACGTAAACCTCACAATTTATTTAGGCTGTAAGCAGCTGGTGAGAAGCCGACGAAATAAATGATGGTACCACATTATTCTGCACAAACCACTGTTGTTCTTGCTTTATTTAAATTCATCAAGGGGAATAAATGCATGAAGACAGTGAGAAGCTGTAGTTTATCATTCGTAGAGACACTCGACTTCATGACCAGTGGGCCACCGGTTCAGACTCCGCCTCACCTACCAACGTTTTGGATCTCCCCACACACACACGCAATACGTGTGTCACTGTTGAGTAACATTTCTAAGCACTCAATTTATAAAATAATAATTAGCGCAATATACTATATGGAAGTACAGTATTAATATGTTCTCTTATTGGCAGTGAGGAAACAGGCATAAATGGACCCACACAAAAAACTTGGAGGTCTAGACTTCGCCGATGATATATGTCTGATTTCCCACAAACTGGAAGATATGCAAGTGAAAAACAACAGGTTGGCAGAAGAAACATCCAGAGAGGATGGGCCTTCAGGTGAAAATGGAGAAAACAGAGGTGATGAAGATTCCTGACCAACAACAACAGACAACAATCAGCATAAATCGGAGAAATCTGAAGAAAGCAGCCTCCTGTACTTACCTACCTGGGAAGCATCGTTTCAACTACAGGCGGACGGAACTGACGAGGATATCAAGGCAAGGATTGGGAAAGCAAGGCAAGCTTTCATTTCTCTCAAGTCCGTGTGGAGATCAACAGCACTCAGCATCAAAAATAAGATCCGGATTTTCGACTCCAGTGTGAAGTCAGTGCCACTAGATGGATCAGAGACTTGGCGCATCGTGAAGAGAACTTCAAACAAAATACAGACCTTCATCAACAGCTGTCTTCGCTCAAGATCAGATGGCCGGCCAGAAGAGATCAGTAACAGGGATCTCTGGCAATGAGCGAGTGAGTCAACCAGAAACCAATTGTGCAACAAAAAAGCAGGAAGAAATGGAGTTGGATTGGCCATACTCTGAGAAAACCATCAAGTAAGTGACATCACATGCCAGGCCATCGCTCGAGCGGAACCCGAACGGGAAGTGACCAGTTACTTAGTCGTCAGTGTGAGGGTGAAGAGGAGATGAAAGCATGTTGGCAGACGTGGAGGCAGGTGAAAACGTTGGCAGAGAACCGAACGCAATGGAGACGTGCAGCTGAAGTCCTATGTTCCTGTAGGAATTAAAGGAAACAATAAAAATAATAACAATAAATACTCTACGTATGAATGTCAAAAGTGACACATTTGAGGTTTATTTAGAGAATAACCATCATATAACTCTAACATAGCCAAAAGATGATTGTAAATGGCACTTTTATCCTAAGAATATTTATTACCAAGTAATATATTCTGTCACACTGACAACAAGATATGAAAAGCCTAGCTGTCTTTGACCACAGGTGTTGTTTTTGTTCTATCTACCTTGTTGAGTGGTATAATATGGTGAGCGATACTGAAGTTAGGCGCAGAGTGATAAGTAAGGAGTACAAGTCACTCGATGAATTTATGGCGCTACATTGATGGCACACGTGTTACGCATACCAAGTGCCCGCCTTTCTAGACATGAAGTGTTAGCTGACATGGGATTATGTTGGAAAAAAGTCTGTGGTAGGCAAATCAGAACCTAACAGCAGTTCATAAAGCCTCTGACTATTGGTTTGAGAGGCACTCAGGAAGGTATGGACTATCTCGTTTAGGTTCTCAGGATTCTTAGAACCAATGACTAGAGACTATCGGTGATATGGCACAAAATCGGCCTCGGTGACGCTTTGTGTTCTCCAATGCATCCACTAGACCCTCATGTTTTTCTCCTGTACATTTCTGCTCATTATATTCCCTTCAAATTTCTTTTCTCTCTCTTCTGTCTGCTTATTTGCACGTGGCGATTTGAAGTACTGCACCCTCTATGCAAAGTTGTATGTTAATAGTCACTTAGTCAGTTACTGACGACAGTTTCACCTTCGACACATTAGTTTCTACACACTGTCAGAATTGAAAGCACAACAGGATTCCAGGATGTTGATGATATAATGATGTCAAAGGTTATAACCATAACCCTTAGATTTAAATATGAAACAAATTCAAACTACACAAAGTGACTTTCTACAAATCTAATTGTCGTTGAACTTGTAGGGGATCAAATAAGTGAGTCAAGTCAATTGGACGGCAATCGTTTTGCCGTCAACGATCAGCTTGTTTTGTCCTTACGGATTGAAACACATGGTGGTCAGTATAATTTTGAAGGGAGGAGAGCTCAGTGGCGGAGTTTTGGTGTGATTGTATATCTCTATAATCGAATCTTATTATCGCTAGTAAATACACCGTGTTATATTCTCCCTTCGCTAGTTGGGTTGGTGTTAAGAACAGCCTGGCGACCAGATTAGGTGGGCCAGGCCAAAGAGTCAGCAGGTAGTGAGGCCAAAGCTCGGGTCTAACGAGAAAGATGGCCACAGAGCAGTCGAGAGAGTTCTCTCTAGTTGAAGCTGATCGGCAGCCAGCTCGAAGTTGTTCAAGCAAAGTAACTTGCAGGTTTCCTAGGAATTCTTTCCGATGTAGTGTCGTTTTAAGAAAAGAAAACCCATTTGAAAGGCGGAAATGAGGACATTAATAATAAACTGATGAAATTTAAGCAGAAGTTATTGACACTAATCAGATTTTAACACTTAATATTATGGTTAAAATAATAAGCCTGGAAAATGGTAGTCTCCAGAGATCAGTTAGCCGAAAGCCAACATTGGGAACGGACAATACTGACATTATTTTAATAGTTTTTGTCCAAATAGCTATTAATGAGC